CACCATAAATAAAAGATTAGCTTGTGCGGAATAAACATTTTGCCAGTTGCTCCGCAACTCCGATTTAAAATGTGTCGCAATAAAATTCTGAATTATTGCACTAGATATTGGGGGAATGGCAGGATGCCTCGAAGGAAAACCTGGTTAAGCAGGGGAACTAAAGTTTAAAAAAATGTGATCCTGTGCATTGGTTATCTATCGATAACCAGAATTTTAACCATATACAAATGATCATAGTGAAATTAAATACGACAGGCATACAAATTTAAGCCTCCGGCCGAAGTCTGATTTGCTCAAAAGAAGATCATTTATTTCCAGAGTCCTCCAATTTATGTTGAGAAGTTTCAATTGCAAATAAAATTCTATTTACTATTCAATTACATTACGAGTCGATAGATAAAAAATAATGCATTTTTAATGCATTACATAAAACTTGCTTGAAAAACTTTTCATAGATATTTGGCCAAAAAATTCAATTCACATAAGATTATGTGCTAAGTCAATATAATGTTTTGTTATCATTTAATATTATACATAATTGCTCAATTTATAACTATTGATATTTCAATATTATTTATTATTTATTATTATTTATTATTTAAAATTAATAAATGTGTTTGCTTAAAAGAAACGTCGTTTAGAAAACGTCGAAAAGAAATTGGAGCGATTAGATCTGTGTTGCCTTCCGTTCCGATTGCGATTCCGTTTCCGTTGGGCAGCTGCGTTTCCCTTCCGCTCAGTGGGCCAGATCAAACGCCGCTTGTCACGTGCCTCACGTGCCACGCCCCCAAGCTGATTAAATTAGCGGATTTATGTGCTCCGGCGACAATCGACAGAAAGACAGACGTAACATACATATCTAGGCACGGCAAAGGCAAAAAGCGAGCTGCGCGTAATTGCCAGTTTCGGATTTCGGTTTTTCGGAGCTCCGCGCAGGCGCAGCTGAAACGGTGATTTACCGTCTGCCTCCCCCTCTCCCTCCCTCCAATTTTTACACAAAGAAAAAAAGATATGGAAACTCATAATAGCAAAATTGTTACTAAACTATTTACAAAAAATGAATTTTTTGGGCCATAGAATAATGTTTTAACTAAAATTGTATTTGAATTTATTCATGGCTCAATGGTTACACCGTCACAATTTATCTGTATTCTCTTAGTTAAACTACTATTTTCATGGTAATGACCTAATTCTCATATGTTGATATAAAATTAAACAAATAAAATCAAAATAGCAAAATTGTTATTTTACTATTTACAAAAATTGTTCAGAATGGTAGATGACCTATTTTAATAGGCAATCGTCGAATCTTTATCTCTTCGCTCAAAATTGTGTCACTATTTTCTTGTGTACTAATAAGTAATCATTTTTTTTCATGGTAATTAACTGTTTCTCATATCATGTTAAATGATAAAACTATTTGTTGGTGGATTTTAGCTATGTTTTTTTTTTCTGTGTAAAGCCGTAAAATAATGTAATACTGCCGGTTCGCGTTACACAAGCCAACTCAAGTCTGTTACAAATGTCAGCCGACCTTACTATACGCACGGCGCGGCTCTGATTCTGATGTTCGCCGCCAAATGTCAGCGAGTCGGGAGTGCGAGAGAGCAAATTAATTCATTTTCAACACCTATTTTGACAGTTCATAAAATACATTTGTCATAAAATCGGTCAGCGAACAGCTCGTACTACTCGTTGTGACGTTGGGATCGGGCCAAGATTTATGTGCCTCATTGAAAATGCAATTCAAGAAGGGCCTGCTGCCTGCTGCCTGCCTTCCTGCCATCCTGCCTGCCGGCCACATCAAATTTGTCCCTTTTTCGCCGGACCTTTGTCTCTCCCCTTTTTTTTCGGCTCGTTTTGGCTTTGTGTGAGAAGAGAAGATCTCGAGAGTTGCAAAAATCTTAACAAAGTTATTTTAGCAAACGGTACGACAAAAAATGTCATGTCCCTAAACATTGCAACAGGCCAACGCAACGAGCGAGCATCCTGCGACGTCCCCGATGAACTGGCCACTGCTCTGCAATCGATATGCGTGCAGATGCTCCACTTTGATCAGGTCATCAGCGACACATCGTTCATCATTCCGAGCGGACGGTGCGCAGGAATGCAGCAGCTCCGCGGGGAAGGGGCATCTGGATGGGGGGAAGCTGCAGGAGGAGCTATGCATGACCAGTAGCCGAGTTCAAGACAATGGGCCAAAGCCATGAAAGGAACGCTTTTCAAGTTTTACGCCAAAGACCCAATGTCTGGGCTTTGGGCCTCGGGTTTGAGTTTGGGTTTGGGCTTCAGCTTCAGCTTGGGCTTGGACTTGGGCTTGGACTTCGGCTTGGACTTGAGCTGCAGCTGAAGATGTAGCTGAAGCTGAAGCTGGAGGCAGAGCTGGAGGATCCCATGGCCATGGCCGCGACTTTGACGGATGAATTTCACAAATAACTTCAACTGCTGCTGCAGTGCAGCTCGGCTGTTTTTTATTTAGCTGCTACTGCCTGCGTTATTTATTGTACGAGTATTCGGCCTGGACTCGCGGACGCACCACTACACTTGCCGAAAAATTGAACATAAAGTATGAAAATTACTCAAACACAACCAATTAAGTATTCAAAATTTCCTAATTTACTTTGAAAGTATTAATTTTGGACCTGATTAATATAAACTTATAATATTTTACTAGTTAGAGAGTGCAAATTTATGACATTTTCCCATTTCGCCTTTATACCAGTTTTATTTAACTATGAAAATTGCTATATTATTAACACCATAAAAATTGTTTACAGAGTGAAGTTAACATTTCTTAATTTCTTCTAATTAAACCAATTTTAAAGCTTAATAATATATACTTACAATATATTTTGGGTTGAAGATTGAATTAACTGATTTATATCCATTACCCACCCAGACACCGCAGTTTCATTTAAAAACGAAAATATCCATTTTTGTTGTTCTATACAATTGTGCTCAAAATATTTATCAAATTTTTTCTTAATTTTTTTCGAGTGTACCTATTTTGGTGCTGGAACTGGAGGTGCAGCCTGCAGGCTGGACTTGGCGTTGACACAAAACCTTGTTGAGTTTCGGAACGCAGGCCAGCGAATGACAGCAACAACGTTGGATGTCCCCGTTGTGTCTAAGTTTGGTATGCGTCATTTTTACAAGGAAATTCCTCTGACTTTGTGACTTTGTGGTTTTGTGACTCTGAATCCGATTCTGACTCTGGACGGGAGCAGTCCGGTCCGGTTCGGTCCGGTCCCCTGTGCTGCTAATTTATGTAAACACGCTAAGTACAGTCCTAGCTGCACTACGCTTTGCCGCTGCCCCCTCAATTAGAACCCATTGAGCACGCGGACCTCGCGAATTCCGGCTGAAATTTTAAATTGAAATCGCAAAAAGCGCTCACAAATGCAAAATTCTCCGCGAGCTGGCATTCCTTGGGCCATTGGCCATTGTCTTTCGTTGGCCTTTGGTCGGAAAGGTGTTGATTTAATGAGGCCCAGGCAGGCAACCGCAGAAAGACTTTGTTGGATTCGAAGTTGCCCTCGGAGTGCTGAGTGAATCTTCAGTCTTAAATCTCAAAATCCAGCGGTGATTGACATGGCTTGGTATATTGTGAAATATCTTTTCAAGGGTTTTTGTGCGCTCCTTTTTCCCAGCTAATTAATTGGCTGCAAATGAAACGCTTAAACACTGGATATTGAGGCGTGTAAATCCGTGTTTTCCTCACTTGGCAGGCATATAGCACACATAGAGCTCTCCAACCCTTGAAAACAAAAACGATGTCGCTTCGAGGACATAATGGAACCATTCATTGAGCCTGTAAAAGCCCGCCCGACTCAAGCATATCCTGTTGCGTTCTTTCGTGATTAATGGAACAGATTTTCCAGCTTCCTTCCGCCCTCCACACACACACAGATATACACTCGCAGAGACACAGTTGCCACTTAACTTTTTCAAGTGTAATGCATTAATGTGCGGCCGGCATCCTTCCCCTCATCCCTCTTCCCTCATCCATCCAATGAACTCCTGAAAGAACAGCCAATGTCCCTGAAAGTGGCCTTCTACTCCAGAATGCACGTTTTATATGTAAATTTTCTTTATTTTTTATTGGGGTTTTCTCGCTTTTTTTTTTCTTTTGTTCGATTTGATTTAAAAATTACATTAATTACTAAAAATTAAATGGTTTCGGGATTGGGAAAGGCAGGGAGGGGGAGTCGCTAGGCTTTTTTTCTGTGATTTTGAGTTGCCATTTTCTAGATTATAACTAATTAATTAAATGCTAGCACATAATGTTTTGTTTCTCTCGCCTTCTTCTTGTTTATGCATTTGTCGTTAATTTGATTTTGTTTGAATTTAATCATGTGTTTTTTTTGTTTTATATTATTGTTTTTGTTTACATTGCAATCGTGCACTCAGACACACAATCTCGCACACTCACTCGCACTTTAGTTGTTAAACTATCAATTATTTGCTTTAGCTCTTGCTGTGTTTGAATTAAACTAGAGTGAAACACACGCACTAATTACCGCTTAAACTAGATTATGTTAATCCATAACTACGGCTACAGCAAGCTCGTCAGCGAATCGAATTTCGAGTCGCATTCGCCTTGGTTTCGATTGTTAAAAAAGGGCAAAAAGGCTTCCCTTGAAATTTGATGCACCTTCTGCCAGAGGACTCTATGTTTAAATGCTGTCTATACAAAATTTACACTTTAAGCAATTAATTCCCTTGGTTGGTAGGCCAACCATCTTGGTGAATAAAATTATATTGCACAATAAAATAACGAAATTATTCTCTCTGTCTCTGGAAGGTGGGCTTCTCTTTTAAAAGTGCAAAGAAACATACATACATAAAAATGGGGAAAAGATGTTACAAGAATTAAGAGGATTATTCCTTTTGCATTTGAGATCTGATTTTACTGATTTCTGTTGCTGGTTCTTTTTGCTTTTTGACTTTTCTACTCAAAAACAAAACACTCGAAAGAAACTCTTAAGATCAACAGCTGATTTTTTTCATTTTGTTTGATTTCATTTATTTATGATGTACTTTTTATACGTTTTCATACTTTGTTGTTGTTGCTCACTACATATATAGATAGATTTATACATAGTTAATTCGCTAAATTAAACAAAATTAAAGGACACGTTTCATACTCTCTCCTTGCTTCTGTGATTGAGGAATGTTTTCTGTTTTTAAGTATTTTTTTGTTTTCATTTTCATTTTTGTTTTTGTTTTGTATTTGTGTTTTTTTGTTCTTAGCTAGACTACATTTTAGAACGACTTTATTCACGTTGGTAAATATATATTTATATATTACGTTTAAAATGTACAAAACTTTACGCTTAACTTGCCAGATTTCTTGCTTTCGTTTCTCAATTTGTCATTGTCATGGATATTTTACAGGTTGCTATCATGGTTTATTGGCTAAGATATTGTGTGCTGCACCCCGCCGACGAGGTCCTGCCGCTGGAGGAGATGCTGCTGGGCATGTGCCTGTGCCTGTGCCTCCGCCTCCGCCTGCTGCTGGTGCTCCAGCTGCAGCTGGTGCATCTGCATCCCCACTTCGGGACAGGAGTGCTGGTAGAGGGACTGGTGCTGCTGGTTCAGCTGATTCAGCTGGTTCAGCTGGTGCTGCTGCGTCCAGGCAGCCGAGGGCAGCTGGTTCGGATGCTGTTAGACCGCCGGCCAAACACTGTGGATTGGAATGGCAAAAAAAAAGGTTTATAATATGAGTTAAAAGTGAAAATGGGTAAATCTTTAATAATATGTTTTTGGTATTAAAAAAGGATAGCCCCCAAAGATCAGACAGCAGTAGCAAGACATTGGTCCAACACAAACACCATAAGTTTAATTTGTATACTTAACTGCAAATTTTAAAAGTTAATATTAAAATAAAAAAAATAATAAAAAAAAATAAAAAAAAGCATCACCTAAAATTTTTTGTAATAAAAATAAGCTTACAAGATTCAAAATGAAGTAATTTCTTTGTTTGAAACTCCTATTTTGTAAGCGAAATTAATAATACTGTAAAATGCTGACATATTTAAAAGCTAAATTATATCTACCAAAATAAAAAAAAAAATAAAATGTTCAACGGCTTTGTGGTTTATTTACACAAACAATTCCGAATAAAACCTAAATTTAACTTGCGCATAAGGAGTGTGTGTGATAATTTATAACTACTTTTTTTTGGCCATAGTGAGCTGGTGGAATACGATGCATCAGCCAAACAGCTGATGCGCCGTTTACAGCCAGACTGAAAGATCAAAATCATAACAATGTGTATGTATAGTACTCACGTCACTAGTGATGGATTCGTCTCGGGCTGATACCAATACTGGGGCACATAGCCACCCATCTGGGGCGGCGGGTTGTGGTGGTGCGTCTGCGGATGTAGCGCTGCCGCGGGATGAGGTGGCTGTGGCGTCATTTGGGGCGGCGGCTTGTGGTCGATCCAGTGCGGTTTCTGGTCCCACGGCGCTTGCGTTGGCGGACTGAGGCCCGTTGGTGGGAATTCTGTGGGTAAATAGGTTGGTGATGAAGTGATTTTCTTGGGACGCTGGGTCGCTGGGCCGTTGGGCCGCTGGGCCGCTGGGCAGGCGAACTTACCAGGTGAAAGCTCGGACACGGGTGTACTCGATGGCGTTGGACTGTGTCCGGGAGGTAGATAATGTGAGGGTGAGCCGCTATTCGAGCCACCGCCGTTATTACCGCCTGCAGGGTTGACAACAAAATCGGGTAATCCATTAGTTACTGGTTTTCAATGAGACTAGCTTTCATTACCGAACTCACCGCTGTGCATTTGATTGGGACTATGCTGGCCAGGATTGGGTCCTCCGCCGCCCAAAGGCATGCCACTGTTGGTGCCTGGACCCTGGGCCGCCTTCATCATCTTTTTGTACTTGGACCGCCGGTTCTGGAACCAGATTTTCACCTGCAAGCAAAGGTTGAATGCGATTAGAGTGAGAATTGAGAATTGGCCTCTGCAAAACATTGCTAATGCAATGCGACAGCATCCTTAATCGGGGCAGAACCCCACTAACAGATTCATTTACATTTACAGCTAGTGTTGCAGATACAGCTATAGATACAGATACTAACGCTGGCAGCTTTTCAAACTGCCTTTCAATTGAAATTAAGAGTGAGCGCTTGTGAAAAGCGGCTGGCAGGAAAATGGCTCTATAAACTATGGATTTTGGCAGCGTGCGACACATATTCATGTCTTAATCGCAGCCAGCAGCCTGAGATGTGTGTTTCATCAGTTGCGAAACCCGTATTTTGAAAGCACTTGAAGTGTCGGCAGCCGAAAAGTATCTCGCAGATACTTTATACTTTCAGTTTTCATTTCGAAGCTACCCAGCTGCTGGTAGAACTAATTGTGCGCTGAGCTGTGAGCTGAGAGTTGTGAGTTGTGAGTTGTGAGCTGGCGGAGCACTTCACTTTTGAAAGCTAAATCCGAATCCGAATCTGAGTTTGTGTCTGACTCAGGCCCAGTATAAATATAGATACAAGCAGTAACAGCGCGTATCTAATGCTGCTTACGAGTATCTGCGCCTGCAATCTTGCACGTTGACTCTGCCATGGCTTCCACGTTGAGCCAACATTGTGTGTGTTGTGTATGTTATTCAGTTTTTAGTTTTTAGTTTTATGCACACGTACACTACTCGTCGGCATTATAGATACAGCTAGGCTATATGTTATAAACTTGCCCGGCCAGACGTTGCTCAAGGTCGTTCTTCGCGGTTGGCTGGATTTTTGTAGCGCCGCTCGAGAGCTCACTTTTTGTGTGTGTTTTTGGCGAATTTCACTGCCTTTTTTTTTGCCCATAAAAACAGTTGCGAGGAGCCCCGGCTTTTATGTGCATTCCACCCATCGATTTCAATTAGCCGATAGCTACCCGAGTTGACTGTCTGTCTGTCTGTCTGGTTAATCGCGCCCCAATCCCAATACCAATCCCAATCGCAATCGCAATCCATTGTCGGATCATTGACATTGGTGGCCCCAAACTACGGTAGCCGAAATCCACGAGCGACTTTTTAATTTCCATTTCATTTAAGTGCTCAATCAAGCGCGAATCGTTATGTCAGTCCGCAGATCGACTTACTTTTATATACCTTTAAGGCTACTGAAAATTCCGATCTAGCTATCTTTCGTTTTTCAAAGCAAAGGAAAAGAATGAGTAAGAAATTGTCCATTTGCACAGAGCTTTATATACATATATTTAGATGTTACGCAAGGCAGGCCAAGCGAGAAATCTGCGCTTAATGATAAAATGCTGTCGAGGTCTCAAATAAATAGTCACTCTTTTGGAAACATTTAATCAAACACTTTTCTATGTCACAGAGCTAAGCAAGTGTCAAAACTAATGGCCAGCAGCCTCTCAATTGTCAGCTTTAAAGCAACCCCATCGAATGTTGTATATGTTTTTAAATATGTATAAACAAAACGAGATAAGCGAAATATCAACTCAACAAGTTCCCCTTTTTTTCTGGCGAAGACGACGACAAAAAAGTTTGCATGAGAGTAAAAGTGTATTTCGAACAGACAGAAACACAGACTGTCAAATGTCAATCAGCCTTATGCTGTTCGAACCACTTTCGCATGGACAAATATGGCACAATAAAAAAGCGACAAGAAATTAGCATGTCACTGTGTCAACTCCACAGCGAGCATACACAACCACAACATATCGAAGCTGTCTGTGCCCGGCATTATCCTTTTAACCCACTTCGGTTCAGATGGTCGGCTGGTCAGCTGCTTGATCACTTCCGCAATGTGTCACTTGCCATATAATTTATGCAGTCAAACGCTGAATTGATGGCCAGCCAAGAGTCTGGCTCTGGAGGCAGATTACGGATGGGTTTTATGACGACAGCCAGGCGCTCCAGCTAGATCTTCTCAGACGGGAGATGGGAGATGGAAGATGGAAGCAAAAGCAAAAGCCACTTGCAGCGGGCTTTCTAATTGCGAGCACTTGCCGTTGGAGCCGATGCCAATAAAACCCAGCCACAAAGACACACCTGCGTGCCCCGGCATCTTGCATCTGGTAACTGGTAACTGGTTCCATGGGGCATTGCCAAATGTGTCCCGACTCACAACCAGCACCAGCACCAGCACAAGACTCAGGCTCTAATTCATTTGACAGTTGAGCATTTAAAACGTGGGAAAAGATAAGCCAATCCGTTGTCGATTGATTTGTGTGGGATCTCTGGGCAAAAAGGTTTTCCTATCCGCTTTTCGCGGAAACGCCATTCACGTCATCGCCGTTTTTCGTTTTTCGTAAGTACTATATTTTCCCTGATAAATCATGGCGCAACTGGCTGACCGCCCATTGCCAAGTCATAAACCAGAGGAGCAGCCCTCCTCCTGCTGACCCAACACCCAAAAACTTACGGCTTTATTAGCCAAAGCAGCTGGGCTAGATGTGCTAGTGCTAAGTAAATAGTAAATGCTGAATGGTGAATGGTGAATAGTGCATAGTGAAGACGGCTCAGACACGGATGCCTTGGCTTAATGACACCGACACCGCCCCAAAAACAGGTCATGTTGTAGAGTCCGCTGCTCTCCAGTGGGAGGTGGACTCGCACTGCCAACTGAGAGTTATGTGCTCTTTTACTGATGATTTTCAGGAATATAGACAGCTTAAAAAAATATATTAACCATCAAGCTTAAAGGGTTAACTGCGGATTTTTAAATATTAAATTTTACAAGCATTTTTTTTTGGTTGAAAATTTATTAAGTATAACTATCCTTAATCAACATTATTACAGTTTTTTGTTTTATATGATCAAATTCCCTCCAGTTTTGATTGCCACAAAACAATATTAGAAAATATATTTATATATTATTTAATATTAATTATTATTAAAATAAAGTATTTATAATATAAAGTTATTATAATATGCCGAACAAAAATATCCTATTTTTATACGCTGCAAGGATGGGTAAGCCTTAAAACAGTTTTGGGTTGATATGATAAAACCATGATTTTCTTCTGTCTACAAATATCAAACTGCAATTTAATAGGGTATCTGAGCTTCTTTCTTTTGTCGACTGGATATTGCAAATGCATTTCCAACTCGAGCCGCCAACGTTGTCTGACTAAAAAAGCAACAAAAATGTTTATGGCTTTTCCCCGCCAGCGGCAGCAACAACAAAAGGACCCACAACAGCAAGAGCAACAACAATCGGCAGCAGCAGCAGCAGCAACAACAAATGGCAAGGCATGAAATGGTCTCAGTTTTGTTGCCACAAATTTATGGCTACCAAACGGAGTTTTCCCCTCATTGTTCTCAGCTTGTTGCTTGTTATGTTCGCTGATGTTGCTGCTGCCGCTTTGGTTTTCATTCATAAATTCCATGCAACAAGATTTTAGCATTTTTGCAGCACATTTTTGGTGCGAGAAATTTCAATTTGCTGGCCAAAGCGGTTAACATGAAAAACACTTTTCGGCGGCTTCTTTTTTCGCTTTTCGCGGTGGCTTTGAATTATATCTCGCGACCGGGGGCATTGTCTTAGCCGTTGATTAATGGCCAAAAGCCGATTACCCGCTTGGCCGATTATCGATTTCCGATCGGTATTTGCAGGCGCCAAATGTGGCGGAACTCATGATTTGCTCCTAATTTGATGGCCTAAACGGGCCATTACGCATACGCCCTGTGGCCTGTGGGTCACAGCCCGTATCACTTTCGATTGATTTTGATTTTCGTCTCCGGTTCAGAGCCAGCCTTTTTTATGGCCATCAACTTTCCTTTGAGCCACAACAGCAGCAGCAGCACGCGCCAGCTGACCAAACGATCAAACGGTTTTAATCGCACTGCAATCGCCAGCAAAACGCGTGCAACTCGCGCGCGCGGCAATTTTTAATTTATGCACAAGAGAAAAATCGTAAAAAAAAGCACAGCAACCATAAACATTTAAATAGGCGATAGAGATGGAGAGGTCGAGAGAGAGACAGGGACAGGGACAGGTAAAAATCTGAGCTGCTGCGCGAAATAAAATTTTGATTTATGATCTTGTCGCTGAAGTTGTTCGTCAACAGCCGGCGACGGCAAGTAGCGTGTTTGTTGTTGTTGTTTTTAGTTTGTTGTTATTGTTGTTCGGAGCTGCTGAAGCTGCTGTACAAGTTTGTTGGCGCAACAAGTGCTTTCGGCCAGTATAACTCAACTCAACTCAATTCATTCGCCGTCGGTCGGTCAGTCAGTCATTCAGTCATTCATAAAAGTAGCAGCCGCGTGGCACTTTTGATTTTGTTGCCGTTGCTGTTGCTATTGCTGTTCACTGTGTCTTTATTTTGGTAAGCCCATGTTCATGCCTGATTTTTATCTGCGAACAGTAAAAAGCGAAAAAGTAAAAGCCAACAAAAACGCATTTAATATATATTTCTCTCTCACCGAAATGAATAGCGAATGCGCGATTGGGAGCGATTGTTGCTGCAACAACGGCGACAACAGCTATTACATGTAGAAAAAAGCATTTGTAAAGCCAATCATTTAATTGTTAAGACTCTCCTTGACTATCAAAAATAGTTAGTTGCCATGAATAAAGAAAAATATTGGCAAAAGGAGGAACTCAGGATTCACAGCTTAACTGATAATATCACCACTGGACAACAAAATTGTATTTATTTTGTTTGTTGTTTATTTTTTGAAGAGAACAAGACTTAGAATAGGGGTTTTTAACGAAACAAAATAAATATTATATTCTTTTCTTATTTTTTAATTATTTTAACACTGTTCAATGAAACGAAAAAAAAAACAACAAAGTTATACAAATTCAGAAATGTACTTGTTAAAAAAACAAAACACTGAACAATATTATCGTTTTTCTACTATTTTAATTGATGTAATATATTTCTATGGCCAAACAATTATTGTAAATAGTGATGTAACCATTTTTCAATGCTGATTTTACAAATGTGTGCATTTTTTCTGT